TTCAAATCTTTTAATTAGAGAATATGAGGTTAAGAAAACAGACTCTTTGTCAAGATGGAAACACAAGATTTGTTTTCCATATTAGTCCCCAGTAAAATTAGGTCAGTCATAGTTACATGACAGTCATTTAAAAAATGTTGTTGTTTCCCTGATCTTTGATTTATGTGACAGACATCATTAAAACACATGTTGCTTAAAAATTAATTTAGGCAAGTTAGAACTGGAACCAAGATTATTTTTAGTCAGTATGTATTTTGTTTCCAACATGTATATATGTGCAAAGAATTTAAACTGTGATTTGATTTGATTTTAGAATACCATCCAAGCTTACTTGGTTTATCAGATGAATGCCAGCTGGTGCATCTGACAGCCAAAACTGGAAAAATAACCTCATTTAAAGATGGAAGTCCCTATTCACGAGACCGTTTCAGAGCCCTTGCTTTCCAGCAGGACTGGTTGAGCAGCGTGTTCTGATCATTTGGGTAGTTTTGGTTTTCAAAGACAGGTCATTGTGTTTAATGTCTGTGTATTGATGTTCTGTTGATAAAAGTATGAGTAAGTTGCTAATTTCGCTGGGAAAATATAATTAAACTGTTGAGATCAGGATACATGTGACCTGTGCTATGTTTGGTCCAGAGGCTTCAGATTCAATTAGCTTTGCAAAATTGCTGTGAATTTTTACCTGCTTGCTTGGATTGAGGGGAAAAAAGGTTCCTTTGTTCACTCTAAGATGAATAGAAAACTAGTCTTACTTCAGCCTTTTATTTGGATGTTTCTCAGTACTGATGTTCAGTATTTTCAAATATAGGATGGTTCTATTCATGGGTGGCTCAAGATATCTCAAGAGACTTCTCAAACTTGTTGCTGTGAAATCAGACATTCTGGTATGATTTCAGACTATGCGGTCAAGTTGCTGTGGATGGCAGGTTTTCTGGTTTCTGCCTCAAATCTTAAAGCTTTAAATCTTTATTTCTTCATGGATTTCAGCCTGTCAGGAAAATATTGCAGCTACAGTGAGTGTTGCTGTACCTGAAAGTATTCATTCCTTATATAGGCAATTTTCTGTATTAGAGTGACAGGAAGGTGCTTAATTCTGACAGCTGAAAGTGTTGAAAGTATTGGGATTTTTTTTTTTTTCATAAACCATTCTTGCCTGTTTCAGTAATTCCTACATTAGGTAGGAGCCCTTCTCTTGGGCAGTCACTCAGCTGGCTTTGATTTCCTACTCTTTTTTTTTGTTGTTGTTGCGTTCATGCACTACGGTATTTAAAAATTGAGTTAATTTGCGTGCCATATACTTATGGGTTTAATAGAATATAATGAAAGCTCTTTTTAAGAAATATTTGAACATGGATGTGAAGGATGTTAGAGGGCTGGCGAATGTGCAGCTTTTTGCTGTTTTACGCTTCAGTTGTTTTTAACACATTCTTCAGCAGAACTCGGTGGTTATTACCTACCAGAGGTACATAAGCAAGAAATGATTTGGGTCTGCAGGATGACTAGTTTGTGTCTGAGTTACTTAACTACCTCCTCTCCTGAGTGTGTAGTTTTTAAGTGTTTGCTTACTTGGCTTTGTAACATGATTACCAACTTGTACTTTTTAATAGCATTTCTTTATTCTCTTATTCTGGAAATTACATAATGTCTGTTCATTCTCAACTGTCTGAGCAGCTCTGTCCATGATGGCTTCATTCAGAAATTGTCTGAAGCAGTGAAAAGGTTCCTAACACAGAGAATTATTGAAAACTGTTTAAATGGGATAATTTCTGTTATAGGGATGTGAATGAAGTGACGCATGCCTTGGAACAGTAAATATGCTGGAAGAAATGTATAATTGAATTGATTCTGTTCTGGGCTGAGGATTGTTCAGAAGAAAAGGAATCAGCAGTTGGTTGCAAAGTCAGTGAAAGGATCCATGGGCGAAGTGTGTTTTCCTGCTGTTCTGTATCACAGGAGGGCCTTGTGACACTCTCTGTGTGTTTTCTTTCTGTTTATGTTGTTCCTGACATAAACTGCCCGACCCTGTTGGCAAAAAGCATTCATTATATTATTGTCTTTATGGTGGAACTCGGGAATATTCCTATTCCATGGTCATGTCTTACATTTACAAACCTGGATGGCAATTTGGAGTCGATAGCTGGCAATGCCTAGCTGGATTTTATGGACAAAAATCCCACTTGGCAGCGATTGGCATCATGGGCAGAGGCAGCAGGAGTCTGAGGACTGCAGCAGTTGGCAGGAAAGTGCCCGGCAGAGGGACTGTGTTACCCAACACCCATCTTGTGCCTGGGAAGGCAATCGGCAGAACAAAGTGGTAACCAGTCAGTTACTGGTTTGGGAGGGGAGAGTTAAGATGTTGCACTGTTTCCCTTCTCCCTGCCAGGTCCAACAGTACTTGGAAAAACAATGCTGATAGAATAAAAAGAAAATGAGTAGTTTTATAATAAATTTTTTTAAAAAATATTTAAATATTTAATTTAAATATTACCACTGTCACAGGCCAGAGGTTTTCACCCTCCAAACTTACCATTATCATCTGAAACTCTGTCTGAATGTTGCTTCTGATTGAAACATGCCAGTTGGTGAATTGTATGTTTAATCGAGAAGGAATGATTCTAAAAGTGATTCTCTTCCACCGAAGCTGTTTGTATACAAGTCTCTAAATGTATTTGTTGTGGTACAACATGTCAGAATTTATAACTCTCATACAGTTCAATAGCAGATTTTACAAATATAATTAGAGGTTAAAGGCATTTAAAGAATAAAAGCACTTTAATGACATTCAGTTTTTATTGACAACCCACTAGTATCTGCTGCATTCACATAAAGATTTCTAATGTAATCCTGTGAGCAGATGAAAGCTCTGCTGTTTAAAAGCTCAGTGCAAAGCAGATTCATTGGATCTGCTCATGGAATGCAGATGATGGGTTATAAGTGCTTGTCTGCAGCTCACACAGCACAGGTCAGTCCTGCCCTTTTTTTGCAGGTTATCACATTAAGAGCTGTATTAAGAAGATAGATGGCAGCAAACTGAAACGTTTATAAGGAGTTATTTTTAGTTATTCCATGGATGTTTTCCGTTTTCCAAAAATAGTAACATTGCTGCTTTTGAAAGAAAAAATTACTCACTCACCTGAGGTGTTTGCAAGTACCCAGATTTGGACTGTTTGAAAGAATTGTGGAGAATGCCGAATGTATATTTTGAGATCTGTTTTTTCTTTTGTCTATTTAGGTTCTAAGGAATAGAGTTTCTTTAGAATCATAGAATCTCATAATGTTTTGAGATTAAATGGACCTTAAAATTCATCCAGTTCCACGCCCTACCATACGCAGGGATACCTTCCACAGTCCCAGGTGGCTGTGTCTGAACCCTGTCCAACCTGGCCGTGGACATTTGCAGGGATGGGGCAGCCACATCAGCTCTGGGCACCCTATGCCAGGGCCTGCCCACCCTCACAGGGAACGATCTCTGCCCAATATCTCATCTAACCCTGCCCTCCCTCAGCTTAAGGCCATTCTCTCCTTGTCCTGTCACTCCATGCCCTTATGAAAACTCCCCGTCTAGGGACTTAAATCAGGTGAAGTAATATCTAATAGAAGTCTTGCTTGATCTGAACCTGTTTGGGTTTAGGTTCTGTGCTGGTCTTGTGCTCCATGTGATTAGACACTGAGAAATGTGTGGCCGAGTCTTTCTGACCAGTTTCTGCCAAAGGCCAAGTGCTTGGGCATTCAGGTGATCTGAGGCACAGGCAGCGTGCACAAGCCAGGAAGGGCTCTTGAAGCTGGAACACGCTCTCGCAGAGCAGCAGAGTGCAGCTGGGGGGTCAGGGCTGTGTGGGAGCCGGGCTCTCAGGCAGAGGCTGTGGGACATTGCTCCTGTCACGGGGATCCCCGTTCGTGCTGCGGGATGCGCTGCCTTCGGGGCTTCCCCTGCTTGGCTGGACGAAACCTCTCTGCTCCCATGGAAGGGCTGTGCTGGTTCCTGCCTCTTTAGTTGTTTTTCCAGAGAAATGAGAAATTGAAAGCAGGGAGGGTATTGGCAGCCCTGAGAAATAAAGTAGGGCTTTTGATTAATTTATGGAACGTCTTACAGTTTTACATACAAAACTCTTAATCTAAGACCATAGGAGAAGTCAGTGTTACGGTTCTGGGAGCACCATGAATCCCAAGTAAAGCTGTCAATTACTTCTCGGTATCCTCTTGCAGGAGAAGAAAAAACCTGACTGATGCAGTTGAACACTTATTCTACTACACTTTAAACTTGCAAATACAAGGTGGCCTCCATTTACTTAGATTATTTTTGTTTGTTGGCTGACAAATGAGATGTGTCTGTATTTCCTTCGACTTGCTGGTTCTCAAATGAGATTTCTAAAACAATAGATTGGTGAAGGCTGTAATACAATATCGTCAGCACAAATCAAATACAGGCTGGGAAATAAAATAACTGCTCTCATCCTTTTCAGTAAGTGGCAAGATAAATTTCTTGTGGCTTTTCGTTGATGAACTTCATATTCTAAGTACATGATGACAGAGCGAAGGGCCAAGTACTGAACCCTTGATTTAGTGCTGGATCCCTCTTGGGAGTTACATTTATGTAAGGATTGAGTTTTTTAAAAAAACGCAGTGGGCAGGTTGTAGGATTTTAGCAGGAGAACTTGATAAGATGAAGGGAAATACACTTGTTAAATGATGTACTATATGATGAGTGTCAAAGGGCAGTATGTCTGCTTTTCTTCTCCCATTTGAAAAGTGGTGAGAAGGAAGAGACAAGTGACCAAAGTTAGTATTGATTAACAGCAATTTAAAAGCAGGAACATTCACTTTTTAAGTGTGAAGATGAAGAGTGAGGTCTGCCTGGTGCTTACGCAGTAATACTCTGGAAAAGTTGTGGGTTTATTCCTGGGATGGGATTATTGTAGTTCTGTTTATGGACAGGATGGGGCACAGAGGGTGCTGAGAAGATGCTACTCAATTCTGTTTTGTTTCTTTATGTCTTTCAGGACTTGCAGTGAATGGAGGAGGACACTTTTTGCTAGAGATTTAACTTACCTAAAGATATCAAGGTAGGAGAACCTTTTCTTCCGACAATCCCATGTGTTCTTTGCAGGCATGATTTGTTTAAATAGATTTGCAGTTGCCTTCTGTTGTTTTATTGTTAATGTGTGTGATCACCTGAAATTGGAACAAGGGCACTGTCTTTCTCAGTTTTACCAATTCTTAACCTGATTGTATTAGAGAAAACGTTGTAAAAGCTTTCACATACTAGTGTTTGATCATTCACTTTTCCTACTGGAGGTAGGAAAGGAAAGAGAATGGATGTAGTAAAACAAAATGTGGCTTTCGTGTTATTTATTGAGTTCATTCTAACTGCTAATTAAAATATTGATTCTTTTTTGTAAATGCAATGTGTAATATTGACACTGCATTCTGTAAAAATGTACTTAGGTGTTTTAATTTTTCAAGGGTTTTTTTTATATAAAACCCAAAATACTTCATGTTCTGAGAAAATCTCCAGTGCTTGCCAATGGATTGAACTCCAGTTTCATATTAAATATTATTGAGACTTATTGCAGATCAGGCTTACAGCTGCTCCTTAATTAGGTCTGTATTTTAAGATGTATTTTTGATTCTTTAAAAATTAAGAAGTAATTACGGTTTCCTTTAATCTCTTGGAATAGACGAGTGCTATAACATTTTATGACTTCATACATTGCCCATTTTTTGTTTTCATTTTCTGTTGTACCAATTAATCTTCAAAAGTAACTTCAGATTGACGGGAGCCTCAAGCAAAACATCCAGTACGGGGCTGGTGTGATTTTGAGTGGCAGGTTTTTGGATGCTCCCTGTCACAGCCAAGACTCAAGAAACTCTCTGCATATCAGTCATGTGGTGGTTTGGGGCAGAATCAGAATGGTGGGTCCTGGCACAGTGACGTTTGTTGATTCAGCACAGGAAGGACTGGAGCTGTTGGAGTGAGTCCAGAGGAGGCACCAATATGATCATAGGGATGGAGCAGCTGTGCTGTGAGGAAAGGCTGGGGGAGTTGGGATTGTTCAGAAAACAGAGGACTCCAGGGTGACCTTATAGCAGCCTTTCAACACCTAAAAGGAGCCTGCAGGAAAGATGGAGAGATGATTTACAAGGGCCTGGAGTGACAGACTGCACAAGGAGGAATGGCTTCAGTGACAGAGAATAGGTTTGTTTAGACATGAGGAAGAAATTGTTCTCTGTGAGGGTGGGCAGGTCTGGCACAGGGTGCCCAGAGCAGCTGTGGCTGCCCCTGGATCCCTGGCAGTGCCCAAGGCCAGGCTGGACACTGGGACAGCCTGGGACAGTGGGAGGTGTCCCTGCCATGGCAGGGGTGGCACCGGGTGAACTTTAAGGTCCATTCCAGTCTTGGCCATTCTATGATTCCAGCTGTGGGAAGTGCCCCGAAGTTTCTTTCAAGGCAATTTAGCAAGACTAGCTCGTGAAAAACTGTACCACATTTTATTTCAAGCTTTAATACCTGTTCACATGGTTGTTGATGGAGGCAGCTACTAGTAATATTTAAAACCAAAACAATAATTTTAACTGTTATGAGCAACACAGAAGACACTAAAAGCACCATGGGTGAATTGAAGAAAGTGAGATGATAGCATTTCTAACTTTGGCTATCATTTTTCTCCAAGGCTGGATAATTATGACATTGTACATGGAGAATGGAAGTGTCCTTTGGGAATTCAGTCTGTATCATTAATCTAGAATTAGAAACGAGGTTATGCAAAATGGCAAAGCCTGGTTCAAAATTAAATTTCCTGAATTTCAAGGTCATCACATTTTCATGTTGAGGAGAGAACTGAGTTTTGGCCTTCTCCTAGTAAGCGATTGCATTTTTTCTGCAGTGTTTCTGATCTTGTTTTAAATAGGTGTTAAATGTCAACACATAAATAAAAAGTATTGCTGGAGAAATCTTTTTCCCAGAAAAGTAAATTCAAATGTTGACTGAAAAGTCATAGTTACAAAATATGTTAGTTGGTATTCTGTTGCTGCAGCGTTACCTGATGAGGATTGTTATTGTTTGAGAGTAGTGAGTTTCTCTCGACTCAGAGTGAGTCATAAGCTGTCTGTCAGTGCAGTCTTTCTCTGAGAGCAGTCGTGCTTTTATTCTCCTTTGTCCTTACTTGAAGTATGACTGTGTTCCAGACAAAAGAGAAAACAATCTCCTCTTAGCAGAGAAGGGGAAGCTTGAGCCTGCCCAGAGCACGTGTGTGTTGAGGGATTGAGCATTGCACCTTCCTGGCAGTGTCCTGCTGGCTCCAGGTACAAATAGCTTCACCCTCTGCAAGTGCTGTTTTCCAAGCAGAGCACCAAAATGAGCTGTTCCTCTGCTAAATTGTGTGGGTTTCCATAATAATACAGTGCTTGTCTCCTTCCTCCCAGGCTGTTACTGTATAAAAATTACCCCTGAACATAAATGCCACAGACTTCAAGTGAACGTAATCACCATAGAATCATCAAGAAATCTGTATGGCTACATTCACCTTAGGGCTATTGTTGGGAACTTCACAAACATGGGATTATTACTTTGTTAGCTCTCAGAATGGCTTTTTAACTGGAGCATCAACAGCTGCTTCTTTTGATAAAATAAAAGCGGGGATTAAGGCCAACTTCCTGCTTCCTTGTGAAACGTTATGTTGACCTGCTGCACGTGTTTTTCTAGTGGGAATACTGTTAGGTCTTTTATGAGTGTATTTTTATGTATTTCTATCAAAGGTCGTTGGAGAAGCAAAGACAACGGGGTCATATCAGGAGGACAGGAGATAACACAAGTGCAGGGGCTCTAGGATTATGGGACTCAGTGCAGGATCTGTAGGAAAGGCAGTCCACAGATCTCTAAGTATTTTGTTTAAGAATGAATTGGCAGATTGGCCTTCATGTCAGGCCCCCATGATAGTTATTAGTGGTCAGGCTTTTGTGAGGAACATAACATCAAACAATTAATTTTGTTGTTCTAAAGCCTATTAGAGAACTCTGTGTAATAAACTCTTAATTGCTTAAAGACCTCTAATTGGTAGAGTTTAGTGCTTTTAATACCTTTATTGTTTTCCTATTTCCAAATAATCCTAGAAGTTCTTGGCAAACTTGCTAGGTCACAACGCTGCTGTTTTCATTCCTAAAGTTCCCAGAAATATTTAATCTCCAAATTCTGCTGCTGCGTGTTTAAGTGTGCATGGACCAAGCTTATAAATATACATTTCCTTTGACTTCAGCGTTGTTGCAATCAGTTATTCCCACCCCTGTGTGGTGAGCCAGAGTGTTCTGGGAGGCAGAGTTTAATGGATTTGGTCATCATGAAGTTCATGGAGCTTCTGCCACTTCCTGACAGTTCTCAGTGATGACTGTGGCCATCCCAGTCCTCCTATGAGCATCAAAGTTCGACTTAAGCCTTCTTTAGTCCTCGTCATTAGGCTGTCTCTCAAAACATCCTCTGGAATTTCAGGGCTATTGAAAATAAGAGTTCAGGTTAAACTTTGAATAATTAATTTGAGGAGCATGAGAAGTTTCAGTCTGGCAGCAGTTACAGGCAAATGTGGAGCACATCCGTGTACAACACCCATTATGTGTGGAGTAAATGCTTGAAAGTCAAGCCCTGTTGTGTGTTTTGTTTTCATTTTTCAATTTATTTCATTGTGTGATAGTTAGTTTTATAAATCTGTCACTTGTGTAAAAAATGTCCTTGTTTTACCTCTTCCTTCCTGAAACTTGAATGCTCTTTGAAAATGTTCCACTAATTTATGAAAAGTTAGGGGGTTTTTTTGCTCACAAAATACTCATTTAGGCTTTACATGTTGTTAAATCCTTAAAAATAATATTCCTTTTTCTAGCATCTTAATATATTTGTTACATGCACGTCTTAATTTCTACTGTAGTGAGTTCAGCTTCCCTCATGAAAACAGCTAATCTTGTGCTATTGGGAACCTTTGAAATAGAATGGAGTACCAAGCTTTTCAGTTACTTTGCACAACTGAGTCTATTTTCTATCAAGGGACTTTTGGTTTTGTTTTTTTTTTTCCTAATGACCCTTTAAAAACAATTTTCTTTCCATTGTTCCTTTGGGGAAGGTGTACTGAAGGAATGTGATACCTCAGGATCTCCCGAGGTGGACAGAAGCTGATAAATGAAGGAATAAGCAGTGAGATCCTCATTGAAAAATGTGCTTTAATTGAAGTTTGCAAATACTTCTACTTTATAACATTATAATTATTTATAATATTATGTTTAATCTATTAACATAATGTATTGAGAATTTTTGACTCCATAGTGTTCATAGACTTCTGCTGAATATTAAGAAGGTTTTGGAAGTAAATTCTGTCTTAATTTGCTGCTACCTGACCCAGAGAGTGAGGTAGTGGGATCTCATGAGCTGGTACAGGCTTGTACTTCACTTTTCAACTAGAAATTCATAACCAAAGAGGCAGCTGACAGAACCATCTTCAGTTTGGCAAGATGTTTTTTTCCTTTTTTCATTTTTTTGTGGGGCTGTCTTTTTCACTCGTTCAGTTAAAGCCCTGCAGTGGCCACTCCAGCTGTGCTGCTGAAACCTGTGAGCATCACTGTGCTGCACAGGAAGCATGACTGCTGCACAAGGCTGTCTCCTGGTGAGATTGAGGACATGGATAAAGAACTGTTTCTTTTAAGGTGTTTGTTTGTAGTTTTATTTCCTACATCCAATTTTTGCAATGCTTGTCCCTCTACATAGGTATTCTCGTTGCGGAGGTGAGGAAGGAGCTGAACACTTAAAGGGGAATCAAATTCTTAAGAGATGTGCAATGCACATATGACTTAGGATGTATTCTGTTCCTTCTTTTGTAATTTAAAATTTGCCTTATTGGAAAAAACATAGAATTCTAATCTTATGGTATACATTTAATAGCTTCTCACGCTGACATGCACGAATTTTGCCAGCAATGTTTGTACAACTCACTGGACATCAAACACTCTTTTGAACAAGAGCTTAGCTTGGCTAATCAGCTTTATATAAAATAAAATTTTATTTTTAGTGGAGTCATCAGACAGGAGGAGAATACAGGGATCTGGTTGTTCTACTGGTGGTATATAGGCAAAAAAATTTGCTTTGATTTTGTACTTCTGTGTCTGACAGACAATCTCTCTTTAGAAAGAAGCCAAACTGACTTCTGTGGGCTGTAATAATGTGTAGCCACCCAAAACATGAGGCGGTTTTTGCAGCCTATTTACAAACTCTGTCTTAAAATTAAGAAAACACTGAAAAAGGCCTTAGTCATCCTCAAGGATTTAATCAGATGTCACTGACTTGTTCAAGCTTGGCATCTGGTGTAAGTTTGCAGCTTGCAGAGCTTAGTCTGCCTCTACCTCCTCCACTTCGTGGCTTTTTCCTCATCATATTAGTACTATTGCCTTCTCATGCTCCAGAAACTTATTATTGTTTGTGTATTTCGTTGAAATTTAGATTTGTTAGATCAGACAACGTGTGCAGAGTGTCTGGACATAAACCAGGAGATTCTTGAGGTTTTTTTTTTTTTTAAAAATGCTGCATAGAGATTATACCTTTTTTATTCATCTGGAGACTTGTGCCCATACAATGTCTTCATTTTGTTTGGTAAACTTAAAAATGACAGGGTAAAGGACAAATGCAATGTAGTAGCTCTTGGCTTCCCAAATTGTTGCCAAACGCATCCTGTGTCGTTGGGAGTGGGAAGAATGCCCATCACATTGCTGCAGCTTTTGCTTCTGCTGACAGAGCTGCTGCTGATCCTGGAGAAAGGTGTTAACTGGTGCTGTGGGGTGCGTTAAGGAGTTCATGGGGTAGGGTGAAAAATTGTCTGATCCAGCTCTTCCTAATACTGTAATTCTGTTTGCTGTTTAATGCTTCTAATTCCATAAACTAATACAACCAACAGGAGTTTTAATTTAGAGTGCTTATTCTGAAATATTACTTCTGGCTTAGTGGTGTTGGCTGAACAGAGGAAGAGCTGTGACCGTGTTTGCTCAAAGCCACAAAGGGATGTAGTTGTGCATGAAGATGAAAACCAGCAGCTGATTTTGCTCACCTGCTCCGCTGTGTTGTGAACACCTTAACTAATCAGAATATATGTCTAATGAGTGCTTACATTTAGAATGCATCAATATTGTGTTTAAGCTACAATGAGAAGCCATGTCAGGAATTGCAGCTAAAGTAGAGTCACAGAATCACTGGGTTTGGGTTGAAGGGACCTTAAAGTCCATCTAGTTCCAACCCCCTGCTATGGGCAGAGTCATCTTCCTATAGTCCAGCAGTCCTCTGAGAATATGGAATTAGTCCTTGGGATGTCCCTTGGCTGGTAACCCAGGGTCTCTATGCAAGACATCACTTCTCTCTCCACTCTGGGGTTCTTAGGAGCAAAATCATGGAGGCCCTGTCTGTGCCCTATGCAGAGCCTTAATTCAGCCCTAGTAGCAGCACAGCACTTCCTGGCCTGTTTGCCATGTGCAAAATACAGGTAAATATAATTATTAGCAAACTATCAGACTCACCTTTGGCATGGCCTAGGCCCAGGCTAGGTGACTTCTTTGAGAGAATTTCGTTGAATTCAGTTGTAGCTCAGCACTGGTGGCATAGCTCTGCTCAGTTCGCTAGGCAGTGCAAGGCAACATGGAGAAAGTCCCTCAGCAATTGTCTGTGTACCCAGATGGAATTTTTTTCGATAGTCATGTAACATTGGGATGCTCCAAAGAGGACCTAAGCCTCATTTAGGAGCCTTGGGAATGAGCCTGACCACCAGCTCCTTGTATTTTGGTGGCAGAAGGGTGCCAGGGATGCTCAAGTGATTCATAAATGCAAAGGAAATACCGATTCCGCCGTTTAATACTCATCCATGCGTGCACACGGACTCCCAAATCTGTTTGTGAAGTCTGGTAAGTGAATGGGAACTTGTGTCAGGAAAGGCAGCAGTTGTTGTCATCCCTGTGTGCTTACTGGGGCTTGGGATGTGTGTACTCTGAGCTGCTGCCCTGGAATGCTGGTGTGTCTCAGTAAGTGAGTAAATAATATTGAAAGGTCTTTCAGTGGCGTTAAACATAGAAATAAAGCTCTTTGAACTGGGCATTACTGTACTATTAGACTTGAAAGTATCAGACAAATGTGGAGAAACGCAAGATGGCACTTACTGAGCATCCTCCAAGAGGATCGAAATATTGTTACAGGAAAAAAATTCATTATTTATTTCTACAAGATGAATGTGTTACCTTGTAACTATGTGTGTTGGTTTGAAAGCAAAACCAGTGAGAGAGTCCAAGTCAGTAATACAATTTAATAGGAAAAAAAGAGAAAAAATAAAATACATGCAGTAATACAAAAGAAAAAAAACACCAACAGAGTCAGAAATACAACCTGACACCCTGTCAGTCAGGGTGTTGGTAGCAGTCCGTATAAATGGTGGCTGCAGTCCTCCTGGATGACAGATGTGGTTCAGTTGAAGCAGTGCTCCTGTAGAAGGTGCAGTTTTCCTCCAAAGATCCAGCGATGATGTGGAAATGATCCGACTTTCTCTGGGATCCAGTAGAAAGGTCTGCCTTCACGTCCCAAACCCCAGATTTTTATCTAGGTAGGAAAGGCTTGGCTCCTCCCCCTGGCTGGGGCATCTCCCAATGGAGTGATGTAATCTTATCAGTCACACAATAGGACTTAATGGCCCATTAACAGAAGATATCTTCTGGAGGAAGGATGGGTTGTGAATAGATAACGATGATCATCCCCCTGATTTTATCAGATGGCACATCAGCAGAGGATATCTCCCCCAGAGATAAGGATCACCACCCCTCCCACATTTTAACAGATGGTGATAGAATACACATTTTTGCATTGTACCCCAGGACACTATGGAATATCGGGTGTACAGTAGAAAGAAAATAGCGGTTGATTGTACTTACTGATCAAAGACTCTTTACAATTCTTTTGGTCTGTTCTGAACTGCTTTTGTTGTAGATGTTTTGATGCTTTACATGCTATAAGTGGCTGTTCCCCAGCACAGGCTGTCAGTGTGCATGGTGATCCCAGACACTCTTTTATCTTCAGCAATGCTCAAGACAACCTCCCGCCCCGCCCCAAGACATATACAGCAAGGAAAATACAGGGATAATGTTTCTGCTTGATTTTCTTACATCAGTTACTCTGGGTTTGAGTGACTTGTCTCTTCATGACAATTTATTCAACTCACAGGAGAATTTAACAGTCAACCAGCCCAGGAGCTGCAGAGCATCTGGAGTCGTGGTTGGTGTCAGCAGGATCGATTTTCTGAGCAACAGCGAGGGCAGCAGCTCCTTCTGATGCGTTTGGCTTTAATAGTGATGGGAAATGGAGGCAGTTGGCTAAATGCTATGTCTTTCCCACTTCTGTGTGATGATAAATTATTTGGCAAAACAGGTTGGCTCTACCAGCAGCACTGGAATTGTGTTGTCCTGGAAATAAAGCCTGGATAACTGAAAGCAAACTGAATGGTAGACATTATGTAGATTTTTTTGTTACAAATTGTATTGGCAAAATAGTTTTTCATCATTTTATCTTGGTTTTAGTGCTTCTTTACCTCTTTTCCGTAATGGCTTCCTGTTGTCCGAATGGGAGTGTTGATTTTGGATGTCTGTTGTTTTGCTTTCTGTAGTGCTTGCAATAAACCAAGTGGAACAGGACCACCATGTTTCGAAACAGTCTCAAGATGCTTCTTACAGGAGGGAAGTCAAACCGCAAGAACAGGTCCAGCGGTAAGTAATCGTCACCTCCTCGTGCATGAGAGCACTGGCACCTCTGAAACCATTCCTTTCATGTGCTTTGGTCTTAGCAGGACTTTCTTCTTGTTAATGAACAGATGTACTCAGTTGTGGTCTCCAAACATCATTATACTTCGTTTGATATTGTGCTGTACTTTTACTTTGAAACTATATGTATTTTAAAATGTATGTAAACCGTCATCTGGTTTTATCAGGGAAATAAGATGCAGGGAATACCAAATAAGAGTTGTACATAATCTTGCAGTAAATAAGCATCAAGGTTCATGTTTCATTTATGGAAAGTAAGAATTTTTTTTTTCTTCTGAAATGTCTGTGATAACTTGTGGCAGTGAAACCTGCTTAATTACAGCCAAAACTTGTGAAAGCAGCAGCAATTTCTTTTAAGCTTTTATTTTTAAACAGGAGGGAGAGAGAGGAATGGGAATAGTTGAAATTAAAGGAGAAATTGCCCAAGTTTAGTAATAATTTATGTCAATTTAGTTTTTCCACCCTCAGGAAAGGTGTTTACGGTTAGTATTGGTTCATGTGGCTTGGCCTGTTTCATCCATGACACAGATTGGAGGAGATTGCAATTGTAAAATGAAACATTACAAAAATATTGATAGGCTTTAAAAATATATTTATTAAACTTTCACTTTTTTTTCCCAAAAACAGAGTGTTGGCAGAATAAGAGCTTTTAATTAAATCCTTCATTTTGGATTTTAAAGCCATCTGGCAGCACATTTAAATTATTTTGGGATACAGTGTCTATTTGTGCTCATGCATCTGTGTTAATGTGGATATTTATGTTATGGATGTTCCTTGAGAAACCAGAGGTGAGGATGAGGAGACACAGTGGTGGTAAAGGCAGTGGGAAAATGGGCTGTTTTCCCTTGGGTTTGGCAAGTTGCTCTGTGTTTCTCACACTGCCAGAATTTGGCCATTGTTAGGATCTTGCAGCCCACGTTGTATTTGGGGAAGGAGAGTTGTGGGGCTTTGCTGCAGGGCAGCACTGATGCCTTAGCCCTTGGACATCAGTGCTCTCTTACCCCAGGGTCTGGTGGCAGTCCTGGGGTGTTGGTTGATCCTGAAGGCGCTTCCTGGGAAGTTCAAGCATGCATTATGGTGTTGTAGTTGGTGTGGATCTCAAAGCAGGTAAAAGTCTGTTTTTCAGAGGCATCAGATGAATTCAGGGCTGAGGTTGTGGCTGTGCATTGTTTTCATGGAGAAGATTTCCTTCCCATTGGAACACCTCAGTTCCTTGTAGCAGGAGTGGTTGGTGTGAGGGAGGTACCTACATGAAAAGATAGGTTTGGGGAAGAAACGTGAGCAGATGGCTCCATCCTCTTGTGATTTGTGTCACATTTACTGTTTAAAGTACAAGTCCTTTGATGATACCTTTAAAAAACCGTACATAGACAAATCACCTTAGGTTGTGTACAAAGGTCTCTCTTTGTCAGATGTGCTTCTAGCAGGCCCTGGTATTGCTTCTGGCTTATCTCCCACAAGCGATATTAAGGATTTTGTATATGCCAAGCTTTGCAAATACGTGTTTCTTATTTTGTGAATGAAAAATGTCAGTTCTGAAGTACTGAGATTCGAGGGTCTGGTTTTTGGCAAAGCAGAAGAGGAGATGGGTTTTCTTATTCGTTCACTGAAAAATTGTATGACAGAATTGAATTGATGAGGTTCTCTCTGATGCCCAGTGACTGTACTGTATGTTTAATTTACTGCAATTCTGCCCTTGAAGTAAGTTGCTTTATTGAGAAGTTCTATTTGGCATTCTTCAGGGCCAGAGAGGGAATGGGAAAATGAGACGATCGGGTTGGTTGTATTGTTTGTGACTAAGTGGCAAACATCCCTGCACTGCATAATAATTTTTCATATAGTTGTTAATCTTCCAAATTCTTACATTACATTAGATGAATTCATTGCGGCCTAGATTTTTTAAAGATAAATATATTTAAGTCTGTATTTCTTTGCAACACAGTAAGGAAATAAATCAGTAAATCTTGTGTACATTTCCGCATCACGTGAAGTACTGTTAAGCCTGAAAGTTGCTTTATTTATTTGCTTTGAAGTTCTGGCAAACTACAAATTTGATACTTTAAAAGCAGATTAAAAAGGACAGAATTATAATAATATACAAATAGTATGCAATAATAATATACAAAAGGCATTTGTCACCCTGTCACTGCCAGGATGTCGATGAATCCTCCCATGCCCTTGAATAAAACCCAGAATGGTTTGGGGTGGAAGGGAACTTAAAATGTCTAGTCCCATCCTCCTGCCATGGGCAGGGACACCTTTCACTATCCCAGGTTGCCCCAACCCCATCCCACCTGGCCTTGGACACTCCAGGGATGGGGCAGCCACAGATTCTCTGGGCAGCCTGTGCCAGGGCCTCACCACCCTCACAGTAAATGCAACTGTCTTTCAACAGCTGAGTCCAGGTGTTTCATTCTCTTGAATGTTTTCACATGGTCAGTGCTGTCCTTCAGGTCCCTTCAGCAGTTTGTCTTGGCAGTTTCTATAGGGATGTAGGTGGGACACTGCAGGTTTTGGATTTTTTCTCATTCAAGTGCTCAGAAAAGATTATGTGTTTTTTTGAAATTTTGTTTATCATTAACATGATTTAGAATGCTAATTAGAAGCTGGAAACTAAGCTTCCCTGATGGTTTTGGTGCTCTGATTTGCCTCATGACCTCCGAGCTATCCTGTCTCTGAGAACAGTGAAGAAACTCAAAATCCTAAGCTCCCTGTTGGGAAAATCAACTGTTGGAGGTTTCAGGTGTGCCATGTATTGAGCCTGAGTCTCGTGGGTTGGTGACAGCCCACCCAGATGTCTTTGTGAAATTGTACTGTGTCTTCATTCCTACACTCCAGTCATTTTGCATTCCAGTGTGGGAATAAACCTTTGAAGCAAGGTTAAAGGTATGGTGTTCTTTTCTTGGGGAATGCAAAGGAGCACACTGGCCTTTGAAATTCCTGTGCTTTGCTGTGTCTTTCATTTGCAGTAGCTCTTGACAAACAGGAGCAGTGGAGTCAAGCTAATGATTCCTAGATGTGATGTGGTTTTGATAATTCTTCGTGGTTTAAAGAACACTGGTAGTGATAGCAGTAAAATGCCTTCTTAATTTTCCTCCTTTAGAAACTGCTGAGCAACTTCTCTGAGAACTGTGGTTAACATTTATTTTACCTCAACTACAGTGGGTTTTCCCCTTTGCTGCTTGATAGTGTTGTAATTCAGGAACATACAAAATATTTATAAAAGAAGAATGCAGTTTCATGCATCTGAATGGATAGTTACATACAGTAGTGCCAGTTAAAATAAATTCATTTCTACTGCAGCATCAGCCTCTGTTATCTCTTGTGATCAATTCTGGGTGTCTGGGTGTCCTTTCAGAGCTCCAGTGCTGGGGTTTCACAGTATGTAGTCTGGACACAGAATGCTCAGTGCACATGTGTGTGCACATACTTAATGTCTTGTCTTAAGAAAAATTCTCCTGTTACTCAAGAGTGCTCAGGATGGTTTGCAGTAATGCCTTGAGGACACAATATGCCTGCAATAGTGTTTTGATTAGGTTGGTTTTTTTCTGATAGAAATGGATATTCCACAAAGCTGCCAGACAGCAGCATCTCTGGTGCCAAAATGGGATCTCAGTATAGTTGCAGATTACCTTTATTTTTCCAGTGTAAATTAACTTAGAGCTGTGCAGACATACAAGCCTTCTGATTCGTTTCTATCCAGAGCTATATTACATAAGATGTGTCTGTTTAAACGGGACTGTGTTTTTCTCCATCCTGTTATTCCTTCTGGATGAGGATCCAGCAGGATTGTTGTGGCTGGATCCCTATGGCCAGGGAAAGCAGGTTTATTACCCTGCAGACAGGCAGACCTGCTGCTGCTACTTGTAAGAGATGTTTGTGGCTTCTTCCCCCTAATTCAGTTCTTCCAGGGCAGTTCTGTTCTCTGAATCCAGAGACTATAAGGTTCTCTGTTGTTTTCACTTGTGTTTATCAAGAACCCATCTCATATTTATCTGCAGTTTTCTTGCTTGCATTAATCATTCCTTGGTCTGGGTGTATATTGAAGTAGTGCACATCAAATCAGTCTGCTTCTGTTCATTCCAGTATCCTGTTAGGGAAATAAGTCCATGTAATGGATCCAGTCATTCCACCTATTACAGTTATCCTTGTTCTTTTCCAAGCAGATGGACTATTTCTCTCTTACATTATCACATTAAATTAATGTCGCTGTAAGAGTTTGGATACCCTTTAGAGCCTGGTAAAATTGAGCTGCAAAACTTCAGATTTTGTTTGGTTTTGTATTTCCCTGCACTTTGTGAGGACTAAGCCCAATAACTTGTGCTGTTAATTTCTGACAACAGGCTGAGATAAAAGTGACATTAAACAAAAGAAAAAAACTGAGGGGAACAAAAAACAAAATAAAAAAACAAACCATAAAACCACCACCAAAACAAACAAACAAAACAACAAACAACAAACAAACAAAACAAAAAAAAACCCACAAAAACAAAAGAAGGCAAGTACCCTAAAATCTGAGTATCCAAAGCATGTAATCCTTAGCCCAAAGGGTCTGCTTTTCTCTTCTGAGTTAGTCAGGAATCACATCTTGCTTGTTCTTAACTATAAAATGCACAGTTTTTATCTGAAGCTTCCCAGCCTGGAGCCTATCTGTCATTCAGAATATTTTTGATGCAGGGTTTTAAAAAAAACCTCTTCTTCTTTCCTGGTTCACATAAGACCCAATTACTTCTCACTTCCAATATATTTATAGGGCTTTTTGGAACCTGCCACTTTTATATTTTAATTCCAGGACTGAAAGGGCCCCTGTCAAATGGTCTTCTGCTTAGATTCCTGCCTTTCAAAGATAAAAGGCATTTCTGCCAACGTCTCATTTTTGCTTGGCCAGATCTCTCTGCAGTTTCTCAGCTATCTGATCTCGCGTGGAAGTCTAAGCATAACTTTTA